GCGCCGCTCGGCTTCCCCCTTGCCGGGCGTCGTCGTCGCCGCCGTCGTCGTCGTCGTCGCCGTCGTTGTCGTCGTCGTCGTCGTCGCCGCCGCCGCCGTCGTCGTCGTCGTCGTCGTCGTCGTTGTCGTCGTCGCGAGTTGTCGTCGTCGTCGCCATCGCCGTCGCCGTCGCCAGGCGTCGTCGTCTTCGTCGTCGTCGTCTCCCGAGGTTTCTGGGGGCGTTTCTGGATGTTTTCGTTGCCGCAGGCTGGCGCGGTTCGAAACATTGCCAGGGTGTCCGCGAAGTCACCCCACTCCGCCCGCCCGGCTGACCGGCTGGCCCGCTCAGCGGCACGCCGAAGCGCCTCGCGGCCGAGCCCCTCGGCTTAGCTGCGATTGCTGAAGCCAAACGCTCGTAGGGCGTCGCGCAGGAGAAGGGGGCGGAGGAAGATGCGGAAAGGAGCTTGGTGAGCTGGAGGGAGGATGAGTGGGATGTGGGGGCGATCGAGCCTGCCTGAACCCTCTGCATCGCGCGCCAGCCTTCTCCTTCCCTCTCCCTCCTCGTAGCTCATCGGAGGTGGTAGTGAGGTGGCGAGGATAATGATGAGGATGGTGGTGGGGGGGAGGGAGAGGAGGATTAGGAGGAGGGAGGATGCGGAAGAGGAGATAAGGAACAGATGGATGAGGAGCAAGAGGAGAAGGATTGTGGCGGAGGAGTGCGATTTCTAATGTGATGATGCCGTTGCTGCTGCTGCTGCTGATGATGTTGTTGTTGTTGATGGTGCTGATGATCAGGATGGGGAGGTTGACACTGACGATGATGATGACGCGGTTGTCGGCGATGAGGGTGATGGTGGTGCTGGTGGTGATGCTGATGGTCATGCTGATTACGATGACTGATACTTGTAAGATGAATCGCATGATGCTGCTCCTGATGATGACGATGATGGCGACGACGGGACGGAGGAGGAGGGGGGGATGGTACTGAGGATCATGATGATGATATTTGGGCTGGTCATGATGATGGTGAGCAGCTGTCGACTGCGAGGCAACGAACGACATCGACCTCGGCTCCGACCACAGAACGTTACGATTAACATTCCGACCACCCGGACGACACCGACACAGCAGCCAGCAAGACGCACCAATTCGACAGGGGAAACAGCGTCGACCACGACGGAACCGCCCGGCTTGGACTCCACACGACATCCCTGCATACTTCTCTCACAAGCAAGTTGGACAAGCTCTTGCTCGACGCTCGACTCCAGCTCAAGTGCGAGATTATCGAGGCCACCATCGCCGATGCGCTAACGGGGCAACAACAAGCAGAGCAATCCGACGCACTCGGCACCACGCAAGCGACAACGACCAGCACTATTGCACAACTACTCCGGAAAAGACGGGACACACCAATCACCAACACGACAGCACGAGCACACATCAACAAGAGCATCCGCAGGGAGCTCAGGGCTGTCAAACGAGCCGTTCGCACAGTCGCTACCGATCGAATTCTCACCCAATGCAGAGATCTAAAACGAATCAGTGAGATTAAAAGCTACAAGGGAAAGGACTTGATTCCAGGCATGGTGGATGCCTTTGGCCAAGCACAGCACGACAGACGGGCCATAGCAGACGTGTTTGCAGATTTCTATGCGAACTTGTACAGCGACGCGCAGAAAGAAAATCAGAAGCACGACGGCCCAAACGAAGCAGATACGATTCCTCCCTTCACTGATCGTGAACTGTCTGAAGCACTACGCCAGTTCAAAACAAAGCAGGGTCCGGACACAGGGGATCGCAGCAGAAATGTTGAAAGAAGGCGGGGACACACTCAAGAGAGCCTTGTTGGACACTTTCAACAACATTTCACGTCCTGACTCGCCCGCTCCCTGAAGTTGGAAACAGACTGTGATAAAGGTGCTACATAAGAGTGGGGACCCAATGCACCCAGAGAATTATCGACCGATCGCAAACATACCAATGTTTTGGAAGTCATTATCAAATTCTTATGCAATCGCTTGGGAGATACGTTAGACGACCTGCAAAGCCCAGACCAGGCGGGTTTCAGACCCAAGCGAGGAACAACCGACCATTTATTCACAGCGACGATGTTGCACGATATCGCAGATGAGTGGCAGGTCCCGCTCTGGATCGCAACCGTCGGTTTCGAGAAGGCTTTCGACACAGTGACGCACGCGAGCATATGGGAATCTTTCAGAGATCAGCAAGTCCCGACTCCGTATATCAATTTGCTCCAGAAGCTGTGCAGCCAACAAACAGGAGCCATCCACACCGACAGTCGCAGCAAAAACTTCGACATCGATAGGGGCACGAAACAGGACGACCCACTCAGCCCACTGCTTTTCAAGTCTATTTCCGAACATGTTATGCGAGCGGTCAAACAGAAGTGGGCAGCACGGACATTTGGATTCAAATTACACGCCCATGGTGGCGAGTTGTTGAACAATGTACGTTTCGCCGACGACATCTTCCTGATCGCGCATTGCAGCAGCGACATTACAACTATGCTCTCCGACCTCAGCACAGAAACGGCGAAGACAGGCTTTCACCTTCATCCAGACAAGACCACAATTCTGCACAATGAACACCGGCACAAACGAACGAGATCATCACCGAGCCACGTATTAATGCACGACATGAAGATCGAAGTGTTGCCGCCATACCGCTCCACCAAGTACCTCGGCCGAAAGCTGCAATTCAGCGAGTGCCAAACGACCGAGGTGGAAAACATAATTTCTGCAGCATGGAGAAAGTTCGATTTACTCAAACAGGAGCTCACGCGAACAAACTTATCTATCAAAAACCGAATCCGTCCTCCAGGGAACAATTACGCCGACAATGCTGTACGGATGTGAGGCACGGACGGTTACTCAGGACCTGGAAAACATAATTCGCAGGACGCAAGGACAGATGCTTCGCATGGTCATCAAAACGCCTCGAATAACGAAACTGGAGTCATCAGAAGAAGATCCCCGACGCAATCCCGACGGCGACAACGACGGCGACTACCCGGAAAACGACGATTTTTCAACCACCACAGGCAGCGGAGGGGATGTTCACAGCGCTCAACCACTTCCAGCCGCGGATGCTGGCCAACTCCGGGAAGAAGATGCCCTTGAGCCTTGGCCGGATTGGGTCCGTCGTGCAACGCAACAAGCCGAACATAGTATTTCAAATTTTGGGATCGAAGATTGGATTTCCACAGTCAGAAAGCGTAAATGGAAATGGTTGCAAGAAATTTGTACCGACAGTGCGAAGGAATGGGCATAGCGAGTGTTGCAATGGGAGCCACAAAATGATGCACACATACATGCACAAACCCGTGTTGGACGGCAAAAGACCCGGTGGTGGGACGACATACTATCCTACGTTAGACGGTGTGTCGAGGACGCGCCACAAGCATGGTGCAGGGTTACTACGGCTAGCGGGCGGGGAGGGACACTTGGACAATGTGGAGGCTGGGTACACACGGTGAATGGCCATGGTTGCGCGGCTAATATTCTAGTGTCGTCGTCGCCGTTTGCCTCCTCCTCCCCCTCCTGGTCCTCCTTCCAGACAATTTGATGTATCGAGTCTTGTTGTTGTCGCATAGCTTTACCAATAGCGGCGCCCCGGCGCCACCCTGCACAACCCCCGTGGCACTTAGAGTGCAGGCAGCTTGTCTGCTTGTCTATGATGCTGGTGATGTTAATGATATGGGTGATGCTGATGATATTGTTTTGAAGATTATGAAGATGCGGATAATGATGATTATGACGATGATGATGATGATGGTAGTGGTGATGGTGATGATGATCACGATGACGATGGTGAGGATGATAGTGATGATGATGGTGCCAATGACGCTGCTGCTGATGATCATGATCATGATGTTGATGCCGCTGATGATGATGCTGAGGATGCTGATGATGTTAGTCTTGATCATGGTGGGGACTATGGCGATGATGATAACAATGTTGAAACTGATGACGACAATGATGATGCTGATGGTGCTGATAATGGCGATGACGATGATGATGCTGATGACGATGCTGATGCTGATGTTGGTGATGATGAATTTGACGATAATGATTGTGATACGGATGATAATGAAAGTGATGATGGTGATGCAGGTGATGGTGATTATGATGATGGCGATGATGATGACGATGGGGATGATGATGATGGTGATGCTAATGGCGGTGATGATGATTACGATGACGATGATGGTGCTGATGATGATGCTGATGTTGCTGATGCCGATGCTGGTGATGACGACGATGCTGATGAAAGTGATGGTGATGATGATGGCGAATATGATGATGCGACTGTTGGTGAAGATTTTGATGATGATGATGACGACGATGATGATGATGCTGATGGTGATGTTGACGACGATGATGATGACGATGATGATGATGACGATGCTGATGATGAGGAGGACGAGATGGATGAGGATTGTGATGATGACGATGATGATGATGGTGAGATTGTAATGGTGATGCTGATGCTGACGATGGCGATGAGGAGGTTGATGGTAATGACGATTTTGATGATGATGATGGGGAGCAGGAGGATGATGTGGATGAGGATGAGGATAATGATGATGCAGGTGATGATGATGCTGATGATTATGATGATGATGATGATGATGATGATGCTGATGTTGATGATTATGTCGATGATGATGCTGATGATGATGATGCTGATGATGGTGATGGTGGTGACGATGCTGCTGCTGCTGCTGATGACGATGATGATGATGATGATGATGATGATGATGATGATGATGATGATGGTGATGAGAGGGAGGAGGAGGAGATTGAGGAGGAGGAGGAGAAAGAGGAGGAGCAGGAGGACGAGGAGGAGGAGGACGAGGAGGAGGAGGAGGAAGGCGGTCGCATGTAGCACCCCTCGTCTTCTTGTTTTGAGAGCTCTCACGGGGAGTATGGGGGCCGTCCTGTGACTGTCTCGGTGTTCCTTTTTGGGGCCCTCTTGGGCCATCCTGGGGCTCCCTTTGA